CTTCGCCGCAGAAAGGACGAGCGAGTCGCCGCGTTGGGACCAGAAATAGCAGCCGGTGGTGCGGCGCGGGGCGGCGCGACTCCGCAGAGGAAGGGGCGGGGCTGATGGGCGGACCCGCACTCATCCAGCCGGAAAGGAGACATGCCGTTACCAGGCTGAGAACACGTGCAACGACGCCTCCGCGCAGGCTGTGGTCGCCACCGCCAAGAACTATGGGCGTACTTACAACGTGATGGGATATATTCCTATGATTATAGCTTAGGTTGCAATCCTACTTTTTTAAAATTAATTTTTTAATAGTAGTTAATTCCTGAATCGATTATTTTGCGTTCGATTTCTTAAAGACTATATTTCAATCAATCAGGAGTTGAATAATGAAATAGTTAATTAAGGAAATGTTTATGGATCTTAAAGATTTTTTTCTTTCAGTATATTGAATCAAGGGGGGTCAAAAATCGATTTACAATAATGAAATTGACGTTTCATGACCTTCCTTTCACTTCAAAATTATATAAGTTTTAAGTTTTTGGAAAATTATTATTTTTGGAAACCAGGCAATGCAAAGGAGATTTATTAATAATTTATTTAATTACTTAACCAGCCTGAAACCTGTTAAAGCTGTATGTGACGTAAGAGGAATAAGTAAAAATTTTCAAATTAAAAGTATTATTGTTTTAGTTGCCAATACGGAGAAGTGAGATTTAATGTTGTAAATGGAGTATGGCCATGGTGGTAGTACACGTCACATACAGTCACATATCCCCTGTTGCGTCACAACAGTATTTACTGTTTTTTGACTAAATAATCTAAATCTAAATCTAAATCAGATTAGGAAAGTCAGGGGCAAGTTAGCATAGCATGAAGGTTAATGTAACTCCGAGGATAAATGAGAGTTAGTGAGACCAAACCTTTTACATAAATTCAAAATTGCACACATAATTGTATTAAACGCTCAAAAGTGTTAAACATAAAAATAAATGTAAAACGAATATTTACCAAACAAAACAAAAACACAGTAAATAAATAAATAAAGGAAATCATCATTTACTGCTTCCATGAAAGGAAGTCGATTGCTCATTTGAACTCGTTGATGTAATTTTAACACAATATTTCATATGAAAAATTGGAATATGACACGCATTCTTCTTTTATACCCATCAGATTGTGTGACAGACAAAATGTCTGCCTCAGAGTTTCGCAAAAGTTTAATGAAACATTCCTGCCCTTTAATTCAATCTTTATTGATCACTCTGTCGTTTAGAACTGTCAAAATATTCTAGAGATTCACAGAATCACATTACCTTAAGTTAAAAAAAAGAAACTTTCTTCACAGGAAATCAGTAAAATTGCTGTCCCCCTTTCTAGAAGTTTATATCACACGGATAGTTCAACGACCATTTCTATACCTTGAGGTGGTTAGACAGCGGCAATTCTAGCGCTCGGTGCTCACTATGGAAGATAAAAAGGCATATCCCAATTAAGCGCGATCTCTCTTACCATTTCTTGTGAAAGGATATAGATCAAAGTGTGAATACATCTTTCCCGCTATTAATGCCTCCCCGATATCCGTCTCTAAGTACTGTGGCTGGGCAGCGGCGATGTGATTCAATTAGCATATATGATTGTCCGAAACAATTGATAATAATCAAATTTTTGCCTGAATATTAAGGGCGATCTGGGATTAAATTGTTAGAAATACACATTTTGGTTTAAAATGTTTTATTACGTTTCGTAAAATAAACCGTCTAAAGCACATACACGCATAACACGAATTTCCTCACAACACGATCAAAATTTGGATTCCCACAAGGAAACAGGATATTGTTTTTGTAAAAGATTAAGGTCCATATCTGTTGACAGACGAATTCTTGTACCCTTAATTTATTCTATAATCAGGCAACAATTTCATATATTTTGATGAAAAATATTGACTATTTTGTTCTTAAAATATTGACCTTTCTATACATTAGGGACCCCCTAGTCACATACAATGAAATTATATATTTTTAACTTACGTTTGAAACTTTCAATTACAGGTGTGATTGTTAATTGAATGCATTTATGGACACAAATGCTTGGAATATCTCTTACGAAGCTTTTCAGAATCTCAAAGATGTACGTGTAAATAATTCCTTAATTCTTTCAATATGAAGTATATTTTTTGTTGTTTTTACTTTTTCTTACTTCGCAAGAAGAGAAAGCGCCCGAAAATGGCGAATTTTCGACATAAAAAATATTTTTGCCGGGCCCTAGTATGGAAAAGTGGATAAATCCAGTTACTAAATTTAGGAGGGGGGGGAATCTCCTAACATGTAATGTTGCCAGAATCCATGTTTTGTGGGGCCTTGATACCGAAAAATCGAATGACGGCAAATGCCCGTCCGTCCGTCCGTCCGTCCGTCCGTCCGTCCGTACGTCCGTCTCTGTCCGTCCGTCCGTCCGTCCGTCTCTGTCCGTCCGTCCGTCTCTGTCCGTCCGTCCGTCCGTCCGTCCGTCTCTGTCCGTCCGTCTCTGTCTGTCTCTGTGTCTGTCTGTCTGTCTCTGTGTCTGTCTGTCTGTCTCTGTGTCTGTCAGCCGTCCGTCAGTTCATCTGTGAACAAAGCTAGTGGCCGTCTGTGAACAAACCGTTCAGCCGATTTTCCAAAATTGATATTCTGTATCGATCTGGTTGATGTCGCGTCCTCTTAAATTTGAAACCGATATTTCAATTCTGGGAGTACTTTACTGGAATCCCCTGGGAGATACTTCAAATTTTCAAAAAATTGCTCCGTCACTTTTTATTAAATTTTGTTGTTGAATATTGTGAAGGACGATTCAGAGAATGGTGCAAATCTAATTTTCGTTGAAAGTCCTGATTTTTCTAAAATTACAAAAATTACAAAAAAATTGGCGTCTTCCTACAACCACAATTATTAAGACATATTTTATCCCTTGATGAAATCTCTTCCTTAAAGATAGAAATCTAATGTCAGGTACATATTTTCGAAAATTTGAGGATATTTCGCGTAATTTTTCGAGAAATTGAGGGCGGTAAAGTTCGTGCTGTGTAAGCTCAACGTGTTCTTGGATATGTTCAAAGGGTTACACGCGCTCCTTGGATGTTTTCATAAATATAGTTTAACCCAGGTCTCCATTAACCTTTTTTCGACATGGAAGTGTCTCTGAAAGTGTTTCAATTTTATTTTATCAAAATTCCTTTTTCGGTACACTAGAGACGCAATTTGTCTTATAGTCTTCTGAATAATAATTATCTTTCGTTTGCCCCGAAACTAAGTACTAAGTTGTGCTAAGTACTTTGGTAGGTACAACTATTATCGGGAATGTTTTCTGTCTGTCCCCTGACTATTGACTGTCATAAACAACGTATTCATCAGGACTGTTGTCATAAACGAGACTATGGTCATAAACTACGTATTCATCATAGTAATTGTTGGTAAAATTTTGCACCCTATTTTTTTTTAAATGTTTTCATTGTTGTGTTTATTAACATATTGAGAGGAATGTAATGAACGAACAAGGTAGCCCCCGAGTCAGGCCTACTAAACACTTCTAATGCTCTAGTGAAAGCAATAGAAACGAGATATGCGAGCAATGGAACCCACAACTTGCACCAGCCGCATAAACACAAATCTCACAAAAGCCGCAACAGCAATTGCAACTTCATCAGCAACAGTAAAATATTTCTTAAAGAGAAATATCAATTGATTCAACAACAATAACAACTAAAATATCATTACTAAAATAGTATCATTACGAAGAAATGCACCAACGAACGCAGCCTAGCTTAAGTAAACGAAAACGTAATTATAATGAAAACCTCTATGCCAGTGTAGTATAATCTTCCTACGTCACCCAAGACGATGTCTAGTGAAAGTAATTATAAAACTTCAGAACAAAATATAAAATTATAGCAACTTATGTATCTTTCTTGTATTTTGAGTAATCAAGTCACAATATTTTCAGCAAAATATTTATTAATCCATAAGAGACTAGTAACAAATTGAACACAAAGTTACCCGTACTTTATTGCACGCATCTTCAGTTGTAAATTGAACATTCACTCCAAGAATTATAATTGATTGTTAATATAATTAATATGTTTTTTCTAATTCGAGTTCAAACTTTGTGCGCAACGGAACACTACCAACGTGCACATCCAAATAGGAATAGATAGGAAAGTAATTAAACAAAATAGCAGTCAAGAAGCCGGGCAGCAGATTTCAAATGAGGGATTTTTTCGAATTCAAATGAGCAAATAGTTTATCTTCAATCCTAAAAAATATTGTATTAAATATTCACTATTGAGTTAATAATGTTTAAGACCATGAAATTTCGATTAGTAATTTTTTCTCTATCAATATATTTGAATAAATATGTATCAACTAAGGGGAAGAAAATCAGCAGCCACAGTGACAACTAAAGATAAGCAATGAACGCCATTCCGTGAAGATACACTGTGGAAATTGGGATTGGAAGTGCTGACCGTAGCGGGTGAGAAAGTACCGAAAGTGGTAGCGAAAGTTAAACCGTGTGCCGTGCTTCCGCCTAGCCAGAGTGAGAGCCGCGCGGGGGCGAAGATCCAGACTCACGGAGGCGTGGCGCAGGGCGGCGGGGCAAGAAGGAAAGGAGGGGAGGGAGAGAAAAGAAAAGGGGGGTGGAGATCGGGAGCCGCTCGAGTGCGGGAGGAGTTCTACCGACAAATTACGCGTCTCTTCGGATCCAAATTAGAAAGGCAAGAAAATATTGCTTTTCATAGCACGGACGCACAAACCTCTCATTATTCTCATGTTGTTTTCTTGAAAATTGCAAATGAAGATCAAAACAAAAATACACTGCGGTAAAGCGAAGGCCTCTACTGTGCTTTCCCGGTGTTTTCTGTGTAAAGAAGTACCGGCAGCTTTTGTATCATCTTAGTTACGAAGATCCAGGCGAAGCACGTTTGTGTACTCGGTGTCCCTCTCCTTATGTAAGAACAACACAAATTTGCATTAATGTTCCAGGAATTGGAGTCCATCCGTCCAACTTCAGACATCGACGGAGTCGAAAACGCCTTCTATCAAACGAGTTTAATGGAAAGTTCTCGCGAGAGCACTGAGGCCGGCGTTCTTCTCTGCTGCACGCCCTGTTCAGCTCGCTCTCTGCTGCCTTCTCGCCGCAGCACGCTCTCTGCTCTCCGGTGACGATTAGTCGGCTCTCGGCGGCTCCAGATAGGTGAGTCTGCCGGTGCTTTCCTCGTTTCTTCTGGTTGTTTGTGCACCGGAGCCGTAACGTGTGAAAAGTTCGCTTCCACACATTAAAGGAAGAGAAGCTCCCTTAAAGAGAATGCCGTCGCCACGGAAGAGTGCACAACAAGCTCGGCCTCGTTGATGAGAAATTGCGCATGCGCATTGTGAATTTACGATTTGGAAGGTCTTTTCCTCGCTTGCACAGCGGCTGGGTCGCTGCTGCCGGAGTACTCGTCGGCGTTGCCAACTTCCGGAGTCCATAAGGTTGCGTAGGCTCAGTCGTGTTCGGCTAACCTCTACGAGAAATAAGGTTATTTGTGACTAGCTCGGGTTTTAGCGACATTGAGAATTGTTTAAGAGACCTTAGTTTTTAATCGAAAAATACTTAAACTTGTCAATTAAACAAGATTAATTGTTCAAGATTTTAGTGTCTTTTGCATTACCTAGATGTGTTTATAATTTTAAACCATTTCAGAAATATCTAATGAGTTCTTCAGACAAATGCACATATTTTTTGTTGTTGTGAATTTTCACTTCAATTGTCTATACACAGATGAATGTAAGCTTCCGTAATCGCGTGACTAGACTCGCACCGATCGATTGATTCATTGATTGACTGATGTTTCCGAGCACGTCAACTGCGATGGTCATTAGTCCTGTTAATATAGTGAATGTTTTATTTCGGGAGGAGGCGGTGTTGCTCCCAGCTGGATGAGATCCAGCGCCGACTTATACGTCGTATTTCGAGGGATTTACCCATGCAGGTATCTGGCCCTCCAACGAGGTGCTGTTCTAACCAGGCCAAGCTCTAACCTATCAACTGGCCTCCACACATATATGATAGATCAGTGTGCGTAAGTATGTTTAAAGGCACAGGATAGGTGAAGTTTGAGCAAGGAAATATTCCGCGCGGTTAAGGCCGCCTTTTAAGGGTACTGCTCCTCCATTCACCTGGTATTGATCGGAAAAACAACGGATGATAAGCGATTAGAGGAGCCGGCCGCTAAAATTTTCCTCCAGAGCTAACTCAGCTGCAGCCGCGCCGAAGATTGTGATGTCAACATTTCGGTCATCAATGTCGTGGTCTTCCTCACAGTTGAAGTATGTCACAACAATCGTGAGTGCGAGATTCTAAAGCTGTGAGGTCGTTATATGCCTATAGTCTGTGATTGGCTGGTTTGGCCTATCAGACTGGTCCGTGAGGTGGCAGTGGGAAATAGTGGAATCGGAAGGTAAATGTGGGGCGGTGCGATGCTGACGGGCTCTGGCGTCCTCCCGTAAGCGCCCGCGAGTGACATGATGTTCGGAACGTTGGTAGCTCTCTCCACTGTGTCACTGAGACAACGATTCGCAAAAACACTGATTGTTTATCATAAAATTATATCCAACAATTCTACGTATTTATTATTAGCATGCATGTTATATGTTTCCTTTAGAAATTATGAAGCATAAACGCACCGTGTGCATTTTGTGGTTAGACATCTTATTTTGTATATTCAGAAGTAGTTATTTTACATAATTTGGCGTATATGGCACAATTTCTAGAGCAGTTGAAATTATGGCAAGAGTTCTGTGATTTTCGGTGTATACAGTTTTTATCTTTAATTTATCTTAAAATAGGGGCTGTAGGGTGGACAAAATGGGACCAGGAGACAGGAGCTCCCGGGAAATGCAGAGTTGGCAGCCATACTCACGAAAGGAACGGCGACGGAACCCGGGAGCTGTTATGGGGTGGCGGCCGTTTTTGGCTGCCAGCCAACCAGCGGCGTCCATCTCTTCTCGTGTTGTATGCAAATACTTTTCTGAGAAAATTTCATGTTATATAGCGCGAGTAATTGTTCGTAGCATGAGCCTGGGCCAAGTGTGTTGCTAGTTGTGCGGAGAATATATGGCGCCTCTCCCCAAGCAAAAGTGGGGAGTCGATGCAGGAAGAAATGCGAGTTTACGGCCTGGATGGTTGCACGTGGTAGGAAAACTCGTCTCCATGATAAATTTCAAATTCCTGAATAAATTACTGTTAGTCAAACAAATTGTAACATTTCTAATCTGATATTTTTAAAACAATATTCCTGGATATTTCGTAAGATATTATTAATTCACTGTAATTAATATGTATTCAAAACTCGTTGCTGATTTGCGTTTGTATGATAATATGATAACATATCATCAAAATGAATATGGTGTGATCCCAGCAGTGGAATAACCCGAATTATGACAGCGCTCAGAAACACTCCCGATAAAATCCGAAAATAACAATTCTTAATTTCATTTTCTTTTATGAAATTATTTTTGAGTGTTTATTCAAAAAAATTGTAACCATGCTCTGGGTCTCTTACGTACTTTGTGTTTGATATTCAAACTAACAATTTCTTCCTTGTGGAGTTACAAAAAATGTAATTAATGTGCTCAGGAGCGAAGAGAATTACTCTTGGTAAAAAGTGAAACTCGGATGCTACCACGACCGCTTTATAGCAGGGAAGTTGGAGTATTTATTAGCGTTAAACTACATTTTTATTGACTGCCAGGATATATTCCGTTTCCTCATTATGTACTATCCACTTGTCTAACCCTTAAGGCTCTATATTACAAACAAAAGTAGACTTGTGGGATAAGTAATAAAAAATATCTGGTTTTTATCATAAATAACAACCCCGAAAGCACAGTACATCAAGAACCACGTAACTACAATATCAGATAAATCAGAATGCTTATTTTTTAAATCATTTCATATTAGCAGAAACCTTATATATTTCGGTGAGAAATACAACAGTTTTTGGATTTAAACAATTTGTATTAGTCCTGGGAGAAAATACAAAGCTACCCCTTAGAAGTGAATTTTGGCTGTAAAAATCACATTAATTGCCGAATACATTTCTACAAACTCATATTACTTCAAACAAGAACAAAAAAATTGAAAGTTTTGGTATCTAATTAGTCGTTGCAATTTTGTTGTGTGATTTAAAAAAAAATCATGTTGAAATGTGAACTATTTGTCTCAAAAATGTTGTGATTATGCCCTAATAAAAACTTGTATTGTACTGGAATTTAAAAAGTACAAAAAAATCACTGCTGAAAATGAATGCACTTAAATTCAAGTTCGTGTGCCATTGAAATAAAAATTGAATAATATTCCATTTGTGTTAAACAATCAGTCATTCCTCTTCAATTCTCGTTCTGTCTTTGCAGATGATCCCAAGGCACTCTCTCTCTCCAAATATCTTTAACATGTTAACCTCTGACATACGCTCATCGCGATTTATCACACACCACAATTTGAGATAGTTCACTATTCTTCTGGATCCGAACTGAAAGCACTAGCCTATTCATTTCAGATACTTACACCTAATCGAAAAATGGACCACCAAATGAAGAATTAAGATCAATCCTTTAAAATCACTGACAAAAGTCTTCTCTTCGTCGCCCACCCCAATCACTCCCTTCTAGTAATTAACGACTCTCCCATTCTGCGGTATCCATTCACTTCAATTAAATACCTATACCGTCTTTTAGAAATACTATTAACAAGAAAAAATCACATATAACTAATGTGAAGTAAGCCAATTGGTAAATTCATTAACTTCGTCCTCTTACTATCGGAGAAAATTATCTCAGCTTGGAAAATTCAGTGTTCTTATACAAATTCATTCTCTGTCCACTTCTCCTTTACACATGACGGATTTGGTGTCATTCAGCAACATCCCACATAACAAAGATTAATTTTTTTCAAAACAAATCCTATTCCAACCAACTCTCGATGGTTAGTCAGGAACGTAACTCATCACTTCGATTTCAATAAACGAACAAAGTATTCATATCTCACGTTATTTCTACCTCCAACTTACAAACACCACACATACTTTACAATGTGTGTAAATAATGATTTTTTAAACAAAAACATGACCATTTTATTCCTTTAAAGTGCTTCTCTACTTTCGACTAATGAAATGCAACATAATTTTCAGTCTTCCAGTGATTCTATGAGTTTTCAGGATCCTCGTGATGATGAAGAGTGGTGAAGTCAAAGAGTTCCCCACTTTTTATATTTTAGAACAGAATAAGATATCAATCATCTGGAAAGTAGAAAGACTGAACGATGTATATTCTAACAACAAATGGGTAACAAAATAAAAAAGAACCACCACCTTTTTTCTATGATTATAACTTAATTTTTCCATATAATGTATAGACATAGGTCTCCTTGGTCAGTTTCTCTTTGTTCGTTCTTCGAAGGTGGTTGGGAAAGAAGTAAAGTGTTGAAGGCCCATTGAAAATTCTATTTTATATCATGCCTTCAATTAAAGGAAGTGTGCTTAAAATGTCCTACATTAAAAAGGCAAATGAAGAATCAAGATATTCAGACATCATTGATATTACTTATGAGTCATAGAAGATTATCTCTAGTGAAAAAGTGCTCTTTCCTCTATTACGTCACCTTTCATGCATCATCGTAAAAGACACTTCACGCACGCATAGCTGTGTCCAGAATTGCTCATTTTATACTATCGTAGAAATAGTAATAAACGCCATTATGTTTATATAAAGCAAATAACGGACCTGGTTGAAGTTTATAATTAACCAAGACCGTTATTTGTGATATCCAGTGTGGTCGTTCAATATGTTCGTAATTATAATACCTTTTCAACAAAAACGTGTAGTTCGAATACGTTTAACTTAAAAGGAATTTCTGCTGATAATTTTTGTCTGAATAGTATCCATGACAACAGAACGTTCGTGAAGAGAACAGTTCAAGAAACAATCAGGGGATGAAAATCGATGGAACATATTGTTTCTTCAATTTTTGAATTTTGTATAATTAATTACGTGCGTAATTGTTAAATTACATGTATTGATAATTGTATTTTCATTCTCAAACCTTGAAATTATGTGTGTTATGTGAAGAGTAATGCAGAAAATCATTTTTCAGAGCGTTTTCCTATTCATACTTCAAATTCAAATGGGATCTCCTAGGAATATTAAATCTCTTAC